GCATACATGGTATGTGTACTTACATGCATACATGGTATGTATACTTACATGCATACATGGTATGTGTACTTACATGCATACATGATATGTGTACTCACCTGCATACATGGTATGTGTACTCACATGCATACATAGTATGTGTACTCGCATGCATACGTGGTATGTGTACTCGCATGCATACGTGGTATGTGTACTTACATGCATACGTGGTATGTGTACTTACATGCATACGTGGTATGTGTACTTACATTCATACATGGTATGTGTACTCACATGCATACATGGTATGTGTACTCACATGCACTCGCATGCATACGTGGTATGTGTACTCGCATGCATACGTGGTATGTGTACTTACATGCATACATGGTATGTGTACTTACATGCATACGTGGTATGTGTACTTACATGCATACGTGGTATGTGTACTTACATGCATACGTGGTATGTGTACTTACATGCATACATGGTATGTGTACTTACATGCATACGTGGTATGTGTACTTACATGCATACATGGTATGTGTACTTACATGCATACATGGTATGTGTACTTACATGCATACATGGTATGTGTACTCACCTGCATACATGGTATGTGTACTCACCTGCATACATGGTATGTGTACTCACATGCATACATGGTATGTGTACTCACATGCACTCGCATGCATACGTGGTATGTGTACTCGCATGCATACGTGGTATGTGTACTTACATGCATACATGGTATGTGTACTTACATGCATACGTGGTATGTGTACTTACATGCATACATGGTATGTGTACTCACCTGCATACATGGTATGTGTACTCACATGCATACATGGTATGTGTACATACATGGTATGTGTACTTACATGCATACATGGTATGTGTACTTACATGCATACATGGTATGTGTACTCACATGCATACATGGTATGTGTACTCGCATGCATACATAGTATGTGTACTCGCATGCATACGTGGTATGTGTACTCGCATGCATACGTGGTATGTGTACTTACATGCATACGTGGTATGTGTACTTACATGCATACGTGGTATGTGTACTTACATGCATACGTGGTATGTGTACTTACATGCATACGTGGTATGTGTACTTACATGCATACATGGTATGTGTACATACATGCATACATGGTATGTGTACTCACATGCATACATGGTATGTGTACATACATGCATACATGGTATGTGTACTTACATTCATACATGGTATGTGTACTCACCTGCATACATGGTATGTGTACTCACATGCATACATGGTATGTGTACTTACATTCATACATGGTATGTGTACTTACATGCATACATGGTATGTGTACTTACATTCATACATGGTATGTGTACTCACATGCATACATGGTATGTGTACTTACATTCATACATGTATGTGTACTTACAT